CCTTAATAGTTTAGAGCGAATATTTGGCAGTCAATAAAATTTCACTAACGGCGAAGTACTCGCTCCGTATAATACTACAGAGCGAATATTTGGCAGTTAATAAAATTTCATTAACGGCGAAGTACTCGCTCCGTATAATACTACAGAGCGAATATTTCACAGTTAATAAAAATTCACTAACGGCAAAGTACTCGCTCTTTATCATATATAGCGTTGAGCGGTGTTTTCAAGTTAATAAAATTTCGTTAAAGACGAATTACTCGCTCTGCAATGTAAAGTTTAGAACGAATATTTCGCAGTTAATAAACTTTCATTAACGGCGAAGTACTCGCTCTTCATGATATATAGTGTTGAGCAGAGTTTCGTTTTTCTCTAATGTTCATCTGTTATTCCGACATAAAACAGATGCATTCCTAGCATTCCTCAAGTTGACAGGAAGTTAGTGAGAGGCAGAGGCAAAAATGGGGCTGATAGAACTCAGTAGCCATCTTGTGACAATAAGCGACCCGAACTTTCCAGACCTCTTTATCCGGCACAAAACCATGGGGAGTGGTAGCCAAAATCTGAATTATGACTCCAACCAAATTCAAGCATAAAGCAAATGATCGAAACATACATTCCATTTTGTAAGCAGTGTAAACACGAAGTCTTCATAGTTCTTCTTTTAATTCTTTTTTTAGAGTTCGATTGAGTTGAACGTCGAGAATTGATAGAAGAGGTATTTCTGCGATTTGCATGAAACTCACTAAGCCTTAGGTGTGACTATTTCCACCTTCTTTGTTTTCAGTTCCCTTTGGTTAGTGATTAAAAAGGTGAGATATAATTTGAGACAAACATGAATCATACGACAAGCTCACAAAGGGTCTATTGCTAAATAAGAGCTCGTTACTGCTAACCGGAGATCTCTTTTTGTTCGGGGATTGCTTTGCGATGCGGCTCCAAGTGTGGAAGCTCTCGTGGAACATTTCACTTGTAAGTATTCTTGCTTAACAGTGTTACCAACTAGATCGCCGTCGAAGATCAGTGCGATGTAGATTAAATACGAAAATAATATTCACTACACCGATTTAGAGGTATTGTAATCTGATTTAACTTTAAAGAATTATGATTAAAGCAGTACTTCGACTCGGGGGCTCATATCTAATCACAAACAAAATAACTTAAAGATCAGGGCTATAGTCACGGTGATCTAAAATCCTACAAATGGAACAATCGCGAAGAATACTATTTACGAAAAATCGAAGCATGGAAAAATCGTAATCTTGATACCCTTGTTCTCCTTATTTACAATTTAGCTCTTGTCGCACAATAATTTTTCTATTTTGAGAAAGAGCGCACAATTTCCACGTGC